CACCCCCTCCCCTGCGTCTTTTGGGTGGTGACCCAGAGAGCCTGGGTCTTAGAAGCAGGGCTGGCTGGCAGGAACTAGGTATAAGGAGAACAGTATTTTACCTTGTTTCTTTGGTGACACAGGTTTGTAGTGTTTCATCCATTTGTGGGGGAGATTTCCCCATAGACCACAGGGATTGCCTGGGACTCGTCCTCATGAGCCTGAGGCTGGGACAGGATCTGAAGAGCAAGGCATTCTAGCCTCTCTGGGATGGAGGGAGAGGAGCGGTGGGATAGACCTTACGCTGTGAGCCCCCACTTCCTTTTCTCTGGGCTCAGGGTGCTAACACCTACCAGCAAGGCTGCTGCGGGCATTGGATGCAAAGGGCTTAGCAACGCCTGAGAGCCCTGCAGATGGGAGGGGCTTCCTGTGGGGTCTGCTCCCCCATGAACTGCTGTAACACTGGCTTTTCTGACTTCCTGCCCAGCCTCCCCTGAGTGCCCCTCTGCCCCTCTCTCCCCCACCACAACCGCCCTCTGAGCCTGGTTCCAACCAAAGTGCATCGCTCTTGTGGGCGGCAGATGTCCTCCGCTGCTCCCTGGGCCAGCCCCTCTGTAAGGCCGAGCATGCATGTCAGAAGGCACAGCACCCATGGGGACGGTTTGTCCTCCTTCCCCTGCTCCTCTCTGCGCCCCCCCCTCCCCCTCTGCGCTCAGAGTACAAATCACACCTTCCAGCACCCTGGAGGCTGAGCCAACTCAGGCCTCACACCAAGAGTCTCAGGCTGCCAAGGTGAGGATCTGTCCCCAGAGTCACCCCAACCTGTCATAGCGCAGAGGACCCGGGGCAGGCCCGAGGGCCTGGGGTTGCTTTGAACTCCCATGATCTTGCAAACGTGGTTTACAATCTACAAGATCCAAGTCAGTGGTTCTTAATCTAAGCTTCATCTTAGAATCCCCCGGGGAGAATAGCAGCCCTGATGGCATAGTGGTTATGCACTGGGCTGCCAACCACAAGGCCAGCAGTTCAAAACAGCCAACTGCTCCTTAGAAGAAAGATGAGGCTGTCTGCTCCCATAAAGAGCTAGTCTTCAGACAGAGGACAGAGGACAGCTCAACCTGTCCTAGGAGGTCACTGTGAGTAGCATTGACTCACGGCAGTAAGGTTTGTTTGTGTCGTGTCATTTGGTTTTGTGTTTCAAGGGAGACCCAACACAGGACTTAGGCTCGGGCATGTTTTGTGGGGGGCCCAGCAGTCATCACCCTCATGGTCTGCAGCTTCTTCAGCCACTCCAGGCTGCGGCCCTGCGGTCCTGCGGGTGCCTGGGCACGTCGGGCATGCTCCGTCCCCTCAGAGGGGCCCTGGGTGGCCTTGTGGGTCATGCTGGAAGAGTTGGCGTGGGGGCTTTGGGGGGCAGAATTACAGTGAGGCCCACAATGGTGAAGGACAGGACCCGCACCCGTTCCTTGTCCCGGCACCCTTGAGGAAGGTGGTGAATTCCATCGCCATCTTGACCTCGGCGGTGGCGGCAGGGACCTTGGGCATGTTTTAAAGCAACACCGTCCTCTCCCACTGGCCAGGTGATTCTAGTGAGTGGGCACAGTGGAGGGCCACTGTGGAGATGGTGTGTCGGGAGGCCCCAACCACCCAGCCCTAGAGGCCTTAAGAAGGCAGGCAGGTCCCTCTCCCACTAGGGAGACCAGACTGGCCCGTGCTGGTGTCTGCTTGGAAGAGGGTGGCACAGTGGGCAACGATGCCCAGGGCATTTCCTGGTGGAGGTTGTTCTGGGGAGAAAGCATCAGCAGGGGCCTGACCCCACACTCCCCCCCTCATCTGTTGGTTTGGGTCCATGGCAGGGCTGCAGATACACAGAACCCACCAGACCCAAGCTGGTGGGGAGGGGAGGCTTGGGCTCTGAATTGAGGGCCACAGGCCTGCCCTGCCTTCATGTGGGCTGGGTGGGGATCTTCACCTGGCTGGACTTAGAAGTGGCCTCCCCAGAGGACAGGTGCCTGTGGGTACTGAGCCTAGGCTGGAGCTGAGAGGGCATGGGGAGGGGTGTTGGTTGGTTGGCTGGTAAAGGGGAGAGCAGGAGAGAGGACAGGGAGGGGGAGCTGGGGGGATGGGGAGGGCAGGAGTTGTGAAGGCAAGCAGCAATAGAGACTGAGACACAGATGGGGTGGCCAGTGAGAAAAGGTCCCAGTCCTAGAAAACCGCCCGTTGTCTGAAGAGTGGTGGCCTGCAGGGGGTCAGGTCGGAGTGGGAGAGGCGGGGCTGTCGCTGCTTTGGATGGGAGGGTGGCTCAGTTCCTGAGAACTGGTCGTGGGGTGGGTCGTGGAGAACCCTCCCTGGTTAGAGATAGAGCCTCTTTAATTGAGGGTCTCTTGACCTTAACGAAGGAGCCCTGGTGACATTATGCATTAGGCTGCTAACCACAAGGCCAGCAGTTTGAACCCCCCACTGCTAGTCCATGGATGAAACAAGAGGCTGTCTACTCCAGGAATGCTTTATCATTTCAGATACCGCAAGGAGGAGTTCTACTCTGTCCTATAATGTCACTATGAGGCAGAACAGTATTGTTGACAGTGGGTTTGGGCTATTATTTTGGGGTTTGGGCCATGATTCGATCATGCTGTGTCTCTGGTCACCAGAATGGGTGTGTGACGCTGGGCTGCCTAGAGA